GTTTCATTAGAGAAGAACCCGTCCAGAAGACCTACACAATTTTTTTCTTTTTGATTTTTTACCTGGATTACTGAGATGCATCAGGACACTGTAAATCAGTCCATCAAGAGCTCAGTCTTCTTTTGGCTTCGAACGCAAAAAAAAAAAAAAAAAGACAAACTTACATCAGGACTGAGGCCAAAAAAAAAGTTTGTGTTCTTTTTATTTGGAAGATATTCAGTTTGTTACTTAAGACCACATCTGTTTCTTGTTTCAGTCCAAAACAATAATGAAATAGCGCACCTTAAAGACAAGGAGACGTTTACTCCTGCTGCCAAACCTCATGTCCAATCAGCAGCTTTCTAATTAAAAAATGCCCCCCCTGAAGTCCTTGATCTGCATACATTGAATGAATGTTAAACACCACCTGCTTGGCTACTTTTGTTTGCTTCTGTTACAAATGAGATTGACACCTGTTCTTGGAAACAATGCAGAGGGAGATGAAGAAGCAGCTGGAGAAAATAGGAAGAGGGACTGCGATGGGTGTCCGAAAGGAAAACACACAAATAGCGGGGGTTAATTGAAGCCCGCGGTTGCTGGACGGAGTCATGAATTACTAATGGCTGTTTACACAGCTTGCTGCCAGCCTGTCGAAATGAATCACAGCCACCCCATCAGCCAGGACACAGTTGTCTGTTGTAACGAGCCGAGGATCTGAGAGAGAAAAAGCTGCTAGGATCAGACAGTAGGGACAGAAAGGGAGTAATGAGCCAAGAAGAATGAGAGACGTGACATATCAAACTATTGCAAAATATATTTAACAATTTAAATGTGTTATTTTGTCATTTGAGTGTTGAAAAAGACACCAACCGTCAAAATGAATAAAATTAAATATTATGCAACACTGCCACCTGGTGGTTATTATTATAAACAACATTTTCTGTCAATCTTGACCCATGTATTTTTTGTTTTGTTGTTTTTTTCCCCCCCTCCAACAGAAACTGGAAATAATGCAATTTAACTCATGAAAAGAGAGAGGAAAAAAGCACTCACGCACGTCGGTAGGTATAACATTTGAATATGAATATACAAACAAAAACATTATCATGTATTTTCTCATTTACTGTTAAACCTGGTAAGAAAATTGGGACGGCAAAGAACACGTGTAGCTTATATTTATAGCGCTGCCATTGGCAGTATCACTCCACCCCCTGTTAACAAAAGGGATTAATTAGGGTGAACGATGGCCATGTGACGTGGGTATCAGTCACCTGTGAGTCATAGCCAGGTGATGTGAGTGGGAGTCACCTGTGAACGATGGTCATGTGATGTGAGTATCAGTCACCTGGAGGCATAGCCAGGTGATGTGAGTGGGAGTCACCTGTGAACGATGGTCATGTGATGTGAGTATCAGTCACCTGGAGGCATAGCCAGGTGATGTGAGTGGGAGTCACCTGTGAACGATGGTCATGTGATGTGAGTATCAGTCACCTGGAG